TAATCGTTATTTTTAAACTCTAGCAAACTATCCATCCAAACTTCATATTAACGACTTGGCACCCGTTCGAAAAATGGCTGTATGTGTTCACATATAACTTCGCAATCATTTCAAATGATTGGATTGTATGATTTTTTTTTGTAATTCGATCCAATGTTCGTAACTAAATCATCAGTTATAGTTACAATCAGTTTTTTCCCGGAAAAAACTGCGAAAATGTAAAATAGAAACATTTATTATTATATATATTACTATTATTTGAGTTGTCTGATACTTTATCGTTAGATGTGAAAGTTTATGAAGAAAAGTAATAACTGGAATAAAATTGATCAAAAAATCTTCGTATACAGTCATTCATATTCTTGTTCAGTCTTTCACAATCATATGATAGCACTTTGATAAGTTTCTGTATATAATATACATATACTTGAATTTTTTTAAATTTCTAATACCTCATTACCATTTTATAACTCCCATCACACTAACGCTACCCACACTGCCTTAATCTGGGCGAGCGTTCGACGTCGAGACTGCGGCTCGATATATCGACGCTCGACTGTCAGTCCTCATCTCCGCCATGTACGTTCACCATCAAATTTCCAAAATTCGTGTGTTGTGTGCTTTTCGCTTCAATCATAAATCTGCCCGACACACGTTTTTTGGGGCGGGCCATAATTTATATTCTACTTTCTAGTCCACAAGAAAAAAACGTAGTTTTTTAAAAAAGTTATTTTTATGTATTTTATTTTAAACTCTAGCGAAATATCCATCCAAACTTTATTTTAACGACTTGGCACCCGTTCGAAAAAAGGCTGTATGCGTTCACCTAGCTTCGCAATCATTTTAAATGCGGGGACTGTATGACTTTTTTCTATAATTCGATGCAATGTCCATAAGATTAAATCAGATCAAATTTACGGACTTCGCCTAATGATCGCGATTGAATTTAATCAAATTTGGCCCGGAAAACAATAGGAAAATATAAAATTGATGCATTTATTGTTAAATATATTATTATCATTTGAGTTATCTGATACTTTACCGTTAGATGTGAAAGTTTATGAAGAAAGTTATAACTGGAATAAAATTGATCAAAAAAGTCTCGTATACAGTCATTCATATTCTTGTTCAGTCTTTCACAATCATATGATAACACTTTGATAATTTTCTGTATATAATATACTGAGACTTTTTGATAAATTTCTAATACCTCATTACCATTTTATAACTCCCATCACACTAACGCTACCCACACTGCATTAATGTGGGCGAGCGTTCGACGTCGAGACTGCGGCTCGATATGTCGACGCTCGACTGTCAGTCCTCATCTCCGCCATGACAGCTCAGTGGCCGCTTATTTCCATTTTGTTATCGTTCCTCCAACCATTTCAGAATGAAAATTACCTCCATAGAACACTGGGCAGTGAGGTGTACTTTACAGCGAGGCACAGTACTCAGGTCAGCAAAGAGTATTACTTGGATCACTTTGTGTAGAGACCACTGAAATAAGTTTTAGATGTTTTTTCAATTACACTTTTTTGAGACGCATATGCCACAACGCCAAATTGAAGAGGATAAATAAGAGCTTTTTACGTCCGGATAATAATAACCTAAAAGTGATTCTATATTACTGCAGTAATATATTCATGCTCCTCCGTGCGTTAGATCTCCCTAAGATAAACGAATTCTCTAGTATAGTCATCCTTGTCACAGTCTTCAATTTCCTCTTGTGTGTTCAGTAACTTTTTGTACTTAAATTTCCTGTCACCGCGCAATATCGCGAAGCGAAGATAAATTTTCTCGGCTCCAGGCTCATGTAAATTCATGCGGGATTGAATGCAAATCCAATCTAAAAGTGTAAAGCTCTTTATACTTTACCAGCTCGTCTTCCTTGAAACGCTTCCTGAATTTCGGCTCCTGCTGAAGATGCTGGATCAGTGAATATGGCTAGCTGACCTGCGCTGCTAGGAAGCGCATGTGATGACAAACTAATAATTGATGAATTCTGAATTTGACTGTCGTATATCATGAAATAAAATTGTGTTCCCAAATTGTTAAAACAACATTAAAATATATTACATAAATATATTGTTAATTTTTTTCATTGTTTCACTGCTACTTGGTCATTGATATCTCAGAAGCCAGGTTTGTGTTAAATAAGAACATAATGAAATAAATTTCGAACATGTGCAACACTGGAAAAATTCACGAGTTCATCAATATTTTATAAAGTTATCGAAATATTATTTATGTATTCATCGTTCAAGGTAGTTCCTTGTTATGAATGTCCATGCATACTACCAGCTTTCTGCAATCGCTCGATCGTGTCAACTGACCGGCTTATATGAGGCCGAGGCTGTCTTTGTTCGTTGTCACACGACGTCCTTTCTTTAAACCATCGCACCCGTAGCATCCATCCATTCAATTGATATAGCAGCACGCAACTGCAGGAAGCGAATGATTGCATGCACGCTCGACGTATAATGAAAACGTCGCCAACTTTAAGAATCGAAAACAACCCTAACTCATGCCGCTGCCCCTATATGGTTCTCTTTTCCGCACAGAGCTGCCATCTCTAGCACACATTTGTAATGCGTACCCGCTCATTTTAAACAAACCGCATGTTTCTAACTAATTCCAATGAGGAGAAAAAACATGGGAATGCATCACGTACATATTGTGTATTGATAGTACCAAATAATCGGGATATCAGCAGGACTTCTGAATTTGGTTGTTTAGTTACTTCTGTAGGGAATAATAAGAATCAAATTTGTGGCTCATAAATTTAAATTCCACAGTTTAAGTCAAAAGATTTTAAAGAAATATCCATGGGCTTAAGCCCTAACTCCTCATGTTACATAGCTCCTGTAACCAGATTTTATATTTCGCATCTCGGTTAACTGAATCCACGGCAGAAATAAACTACAGTTAATTTGTTCCAGGACTTGACGAGAATTTCGTTAATTTTCGAAAATTCCAATCATATTCACACGTTGCTAGTTATTTGGTCCTGCGGCTGACAGCTTTGCTTGAATATACATTGTTTCGTGAAGAATATATGTTACTCACTCGAGAACATTTGTCAAAATCATCAAGGCTCACTTGATGTTTAATGAAGTTTCTCGAACAGCTTCAGAGATCTTGTGCATCACGGGTTAACCTGAAAACAACTCATTTAGAGCGAATACGTTATAAGCAGAATCTCAGAGTGGGGGGGGATTATGCAATGTTTTGTAGAGCAATGTAATTTTTTTGTAGAGAATTAATCCGTAATCTTGGAAATCCAGAAGCAATGAAGTCCAAATCCCAACATCTAATTATTGTGTAAATTTCCATTTTGTGTGATTGCCTAGAATATTTGCTTGGAGATTGAAAATTGCCTTATATTTTCATATTTAATTAATTCTAGCACAACATGACTCAGAACTTAAATTTTTAGTCAATAGTCCCTATATTGGCAAAAAATATGAAGCTTGTCTCTTTTGTCTGCTCAAATCGTAGCTTCACTAAGAATATAGAAGCATTAAAAATATAACTCAGTACTCACTGCAGTGAGTGACAGAGAGAGCATTTTCTCGTCGACGAAAACTTGAAGTCACGGACGGACAGACAGACGGGCGGACGGACATGGCGAGCACAATAGCGCCTTTTTTTCCACAAATGAGAAAATGCGCTAAAACAAAGCACAGAAAAAATTCACTATATATATAAAAAACCACAGAACCGTTTTACTTTAAGATACGATGAACCTACTTGACGTTTTCTTGCTTTTGAATTCTTGCTGTAAGGCTTGCCTTGTCAAAGATCGTGAGGTTACGTACTCAACTTTCCTTTAAATGTTCCCAATGATTGTGCTCAGACTTCAGGCAAATCACAAATTACAGGCAATAGCTAAACATTTGCAACCTTAGAACTTTCTATTCAAACAATCATTAATTTTATTTAAAAACATATTTTATGAATAATTTTCCTCCAGCTTTCCACTGAAACCTTGATTTTTATTACTCATTTAACCACTTTGCATGACATATATAATCTACGCCTAGATATTAATAAAATCCAGGTTCTCTGTTTCTGACTGCATACTGAATAACTGTTGCTCACTCCGAAATTAGATGATATCTGCTGATGAGATCGACTGGCGTGGCCATGCATCATCTTGACGCTTGCTCTGGCCGCGTCCGCTGGGACTCGGGAAAATAAATTAAGCGAAACACGAATATGGAGTTCAGATGAAATCTCCTGCTATGTTTAAATTGTGAATAAATTGTGGAACTTTCATTAGCTAAAGTTGTGAATTAGATATTAGAAGGAGGATGGGCTTTAGGTTTACTACAATCGAGTAGTGAAGAGGTAACGAGGAAAGTCATTTAGATGTTCTGAAACGAAACAGAAATTGAGCAAAAGTTGGCGTAGATTAATCACAACGAACCAAATTAATTATGCAGAAAGACAGCATTACTTCGGCAAAAATATATCTTAGTTATTCAAAAATTATATTAAATTCCAGTAGATGGATCCAAAATTTGATAACTAATTACTCCAAACAAAAATAAAAAAATGTACTATAAGAAATATGTAAAAATATGAAATTTTTAATGAAATTGTTCAAACTTTGCAGAGAAATTTAAAAAAATCGAGCAAATTGGCCGAAGTTATTCAACTTTTTTGATGATGGAATAAATTGAATTTACTCAGATTTAAATTCAAATTAATTAAGATGAAAATGGAATGTATTTCGGATATCATAGACTTATCTTAATCTACAGCCTTTAAGTATGGAAAGCATGCAGATCTTGATATACGGTGTTAATTTTAAAACTTTTAAAACAAACGAATCTTGACATTACATTTTTCCTCCATAAGTTACTACACTCTTCTCCATGCTTTTTATCCATAATTCTGTCTAAGTCAACAGAATAATTAAGCTCCGGTATTATTGATGCCATGTTGCATGAGCAACCATTATCTAATTGATTGCTATTCTTCTTCCGCAGAAATCCGGCGTCAACGCCGACGAAATTCTTCGGTAGCTGAGGTCTCAAGCAGTCACCACGAAAACCAACAGCATTTACGGCAACAAATCTCAATCAGTTCTTCATCAAAATGAACCACGCAAGGTGAGCTATTCTGATACACTTATCTCCTACAGTTACTTGTTTACATTGCAATTTTGGTGAATTTTGTAACATGTTCTGTCCAGCTTGTCAAGATGTGAAAGTTCCACAGACTAAAAAATTTCGTTGATCAGAGTTATTAACTGATTGAATGTCATTTCTATAAAATGTATGTAGCTGACGACAATAGAACGCTGTGCAGGAATAGCGTAAATTATTCCATTGATCTACAAGCCTCCTCAATTTTGCGGATAGCGGCAACATTGGTCGCTATTGTTGACAATCAGAGCGCGACCAGAAGCATGAGTCGAAGTCGTGGAGAATTGGCCAATGCTTGAATTAGAAATAAGTCTTTGTGGCTGTTAGGAGGATTATATTATAATTGTTACCTCTCGAGTGATTCACTTTCCGGTAACTTTTAGAATTCGGAATAGTTATTTTTACTATTTGAGAATTGCTACACGTTTGAATTGAACTTCGTCGAAGGAGAATACTCTCCAGAAAAAATCCTGTTCTTATTTCTTGGAAAAAAAATTTAACACTTCCAGTAAATTTATGGTGAAATTTTGTTCGATTCAAAATAAAAACTCTATGTCATAATTAATGAGCTTTAATCTTCTGTGAGGAGCCAGATTCAACCATTAAATTGAACTGAATAATTTAAACCTAAGCACATAAGAAGCATCAACTTTCTGGAAATGAATAGTACAATCCTAGTAAGCAGAGTATGAATATCTTCGATCAGGATTGGTATGAACCCTCGTCAATAAATAGATTAAGTTTTGATCGTCTATTAACGTGACACAATGGGATTCATAATACACATGATGATCAAAGACGTTCAAACTTGAGGAATTATCAATAAAATTTTGATTGTAACCAATATATACGCAAATCTTACATGTTTCCTGGAGAAAAATCGAATCCGCTCAGTTTTTTTCCTCGAAACTTTCTTGGAACGTCTTCTGTACGTACATTCATCGGAGGTCAACATTGTGAATTCAACGCAAAAGCACTGCCGTATTTTAACGAGCACTTCAAACGGCTGCCGCAAAATGCAAATAATGTTCGCGGAATAAATTTCCCAGTGGACATGTGGACGCAATACGTCATTTCTCTTATCATATTCAGCACTCAAATTTTGTGGGATCGAGTAATTTAATTGACATACCTGCAGGCAATACAGCACTAAAACTACCAAGGATTTTTTATCAGTAAAATCGACGTTTAGGGCAAAAACCTGAAATAATTAATAATTTTTGCACAACCGAATTTGATCATTCAAGTCCCAACTGATACCAGCGTCTGCTTCGGAAAGAAAACTTTCACTGGTAGTTCTGGTTATTCAAGGTTCAACAAAATATTAAAACCCCTTAACATTTGTGCAGCATATATACTAACGTGTTGTGAGAACAATCACTGGCAGGGCAAAATTTCGTGTGTATCATTTTCCTTTGCTTTTAACAATACCTGAAAGGCTTATAATAAATCAATATAAATGGTTGTGCACTCGGACTTCAAAAGGTGCCATATTTGTGGTGGTCACATGGCATGCATACGCTGGCTTAATTAGCTGATCCTACACAAATGTTTAACATTTCATGAGAGATTCCATCAATAGGGATTAGTGGTTTAGTGGACAGGGATTGGTGGATATGCTGACAGTGATTCTGAAGTATTAAGGAAATGCGGGCCGTAGTTTGCTGCGAATTGACATGTTTTTTATCATGTTTGTTGCCGTTGAGCTCCTGTTCTCTTCTGAAGTCTCCCTCTTCAGAGATGCCTTCCAACCCGTTTATCATGTGTAAGAAATGAATTCTGTTGACTTCAAAAATATTGGTTGAATGCGCGTTATTTATACTCTTGTGGGTATGAGTAAGAGCGATGTAGAGAAGAAGCATACAAGGATTTGAAAAACTGTAGATCCTATTTTTGGAACGATTAGAAAATTCACGGCCCCGAAAATCACTACAATTAAAACCCACGGCTCTCAAACAAAAACTTCAAAGTGATTTGAGTGATGTGGAAATCCGTAAAATTGGCTACTCTATGAATGAAAAATCTGATTTTCCGTGGGCGAAAAACCGGTTACCTCATTTCCTGTCCCTGCCCTGTGAACGTCCATTTGTAGACAGCTGAAGTGAAAAAATTATAAACAACAACAATGCGGAATTCTGTAAGTCTAAGGGATCGGCCATTTGTGACAATTTCTTAACATTTATTATTACTGTTTGTGTAAAAAATCTATGAAAAATATAACTCAATACTCACTGCAGTGAGTGACAGAGAGAGCATTTTCTCGTCGACGAAAACGTGAAGTCACGGACGGACAGACAGACGGACATGGCGAGCACAATAGTGCATTTTTTTCATAAATGAGAAAATGCGCTAAAAATCAAAGGTTTGAATTTTTGGGAATGTTATTAGGCCAAAACAATGTATCCTTCCACTATTGTGTCCCGCTCTTCGAGCCTAAATTGTTAGTGTTACGGTCTCCCGAGCTCCTCGCCCGCTATGGAACGTTCTCATTCTCGGTAGCCATGACATCAAACCCTCAATTGTTATTACCTCTTTGTTTTACGTGCATTAACAATATTACAAATATTAAAATTTCAGGACCTGTCTATACAACAGTGATTGTTATTGAATAGTAAAAATATACACTATTAAACTTTCAATTACATTGCTTTCAGTGATACCATGGATGTGCCGATCTATAATTTTGTGTTACTCCCCAAGCAATATTATTAATTTCTGCCACAAGCTCTGGGTTTCTCTCGCGCCTTGATGTTACTTGACGTATTTAGAGAACACATCAATTTTTTTGAGGCCTTGAACATGTGTTGTCTGTTGGCAAACTCTGAAGTTCAGCTGTTGCCCAGCAAGGAAAGCAATGCATTGCGGTCTTTATCGACGTAGGCATCAAGGTGAAAACTGTGCAGAACTTTGGAAAAAACTTTTTTCACAATTTCTCAAACCTTCAATGAAGCGTCAACACTATTTCTAATGACACTGCACCATTAGGTAGCCTCTTCTTTCGTAATTATATTTATTCTGATTCCAATTTTATATTTTTTGGATCTATTAGCTGGACTCCCATTTTGGTTACAACAGGGGATAAAATATCAAAAAGGAATTTATTATGCCTTTATTTATGAGGTATTAGAGTTTAGACTAAGATTTTTGAAACTTTGTCGGAAATTTTTAAATTTACACACGCACGTAGAAAAATCGAAAAGTTTTTTAGGCCAAAAAGGTCAATTTAATAATCCTTTCATCATTACCACTCACGTTGCTACAGAATATTATCTGGAACTGTAAGAGTACAGTAGATTATTCGGCATTATGCAATAAAATCAACTGCGATGACGATCAGACTGCTGCGTGTGGACTTGGTTGATGGACATCTTGGAAATGAGCTTCATCGAAGAACTTTGCGTGATAGCATGGCTGCCGTTTCGGTAACTTGCTGAAACTAACCTCGTTAAATTCACCAACAATGCTGTTATAAGGCCTCATTTATCGGTTTTTGTCATTTGAATTCAGTCTTCTTGGGAGAATGAAGTAACATCGGCCAACAAGTCACTGGCGTTGGACAAATATCAGGAGCAGGATAAAATGGATCCGTTCCAAAAGTTTCGCGACGTGTCTTGTACAGTCAAAATATTGTTATCGGAACCTCAAACCGTTCGTAAGTATATATTTGGACTGTGTGCTAAATAGCCACCTCTGGACTGTTTTTTTTTCTGCCTGACGTCAATTTGACAAGCTTGTCTGATTTCATCACGTGAATTTCCCGTACAGAAGCGGTTAATGGACAGATGTTAACCAGACTCTTCGAGATTCTCATTTCACTTAACTTAGTTTTTAAAATTTGGGGTTTAAAATTTTGTCATTGCTGGTTTAGCTCCATCAATTTAACATGAATTGTAACGCACCATTTTTCTTCTTTTTCTTTCAAAAGTGTCTACAAAGTCTTAATTGTTTAAACTGAGCCAATAAATCAAAGCCTAACTTACATTAGTCAGTAGTCTACCCCCATGTTACAGTTGCCACGGTTGCCACAGTTCGAGCGAGCCTTCGCGCAACACACGGCAACGTACAGCGTCATTTTTTTCATATAAACATTAACATATTTTAACGCTCCAGTATGCATTATCATCTAGGCTGCTTAAGCAATGATGTAGGAATGATAAGTATGAATGGACAATAATGCAAACAATATATAGATTGCGACCAAAGCTGCATCACACGAGCGAGCAGAATCACGTGTCATGTGCAGCTTCCATGGAGATTCCAGCTTCGTCACCCTGAAGCCGTGTTCCGGATATATAGTTCTGGCTCGCGGATGATGGTTAGAAAATTTGTTAAAAATATTCAAATTTTGTGTAATAAAAATGACCGACCTCTTTAAAAATTAAAAGTGATTGAGCTATAAGTCCCGCTGCCAACACAATGGAAAGCTGGATCATGGATGACTCAGTTTACGAGAATAAAATTCTATCAGAGGTTTTCATTCAATTTCGCACGAATTGATTTATATAAAGGCACGGCCGAGTGACAGCTATATAGCTTGTTAACACGTTGAGTGAAGTGATACATATGCGTACCACGAAATGTATTTCTCCAGGACGTAGTGGTACGTACATAATTCAGGTTGCCTAAAATTGGCCAAATCCGAGAATGAAAAATTAAAAAATGCCAAAAAAGGCCGATAACTCAAAATATACTAGTTTATTTGTAGGTTCCACTATAAAAATTCCATTCATTTTATTTTTGCAGTTTTTTAAATTTAATTAGAAAGTACCCCTATCATAAATTTTTTAAATATGATCCTTTGCCTCACGGCCCTGACAACGTAACGCGTTGCTTGTAGACGGATTGGGGTTTTTGACAAGGAATCAATATTTTCCGATTAACTAAATTCTTATTCTACTCAATATGTACCCTGCACTGACTAGGTTTACACTATACATGTATTTGTTTTAGCCTAGAATGCTTTTGGTAATTAAATTATTATAAACGAAAAAATGCAGCTGATAACGAGAACGTTTGCACCTTTCACGAAATTAATTTTATTATTTGATATGACATTTAACAAATCATCCTCACGCATTTGTGATCATCTAATTGTCTGCAGACATTATTTCTCCCACCATTATGTGAACTGGAAGCTGAGCGACGGTCGAGTCATCAAACTTCCTCTAGCGGTCTATCGTTTTCCGATAATTCGTCTTTGGTTTCCACTAAATGTTCTTGCTCGTACAGCAATTTGTTCCTATCCTCTTTAGAGTCTTCAAAAAGACCTCTCCCAACGGCAAGCTCACCGTGTACGTGGAGAAGAGAGAGCTGGCGCAGTCAGAGGGGCAGATGCAGCCTGTGCAAGGGGTTATGTTGGTCGACACGAGCTACGCTAAAGACAGGAAAATCTACGGACAATTCGTGCTCACTTTCAGATACGGCAGAGAAGATGAAGAGGTATGTGAATTATCATATTATACAAATTTCAGAGGGCAAAATTTTTGCGTTGCTGCTATTCTGAGTTCGTGTTCGAGGTGATTGTGTCCCAAACTGTATAATGGATCAAAAAACATAATTGTGCATCCGGTAGTTTCTTCTATAATCCAAGACATAAAGAATTTGTACTGATTATTCGCTTTGTTATCATACAGCTTAGTTATCACTATTTTTATCAATATTACTATTCATTTGCTATTAATTATCTTTTACTATTATTTATTATTTGCCAGCAAATCTCAACACGTTTCTACTGAACGCAGTTTCTTTCATCAATGCTATCGCACATAAGATTCAAAATGAAATTGGCGACAGACAATTTCCGGCAAAATGCAGAACGTTGCCGGAAAAATATTCGACGCGCGAGTTTCCCATAAAACACAATCAGAGCTTTGATGACATGGAGCGTCATTCTGTAAGGTGTCAGAGACACTCGATACCGATGTCGATTCTCTGCAACTCGACGAATATAAAGAAAATAATTTACTTCAAAGAATGACAAAGTTGGTGGAATATATCCAGTCCTTAGATCGTAGTTCCTGAACATCGTTTACTCTATTGAAGATAAAAATTAATTTATTGACACCTTGGTGTACGTTCGCTCGCTTTCATCCTTCGAGAAACAAAGTTCAATCTTTTCAAGTAGACAGCGAAAGCGTCTTCCATGAACTCCATGTAAATAATACGTTTTTCTAGTATAATTTTAATATTATTTATTGGATATCGCATGTCTCATGAGGCACCCCCGTACTAATCCATTTAATTGCACCTGAACATAGCACCTGCTTGTGACAACTAGCCAGTTGAAGAAACGCAATCATCCTTGTATACTTTTACAAATCTTTCAAATGTGACGAGAAACTATACTTACAATAACTGAAAAGGATTTTACACAATGAAAATAAATTGGATACGCTGAATACTCCGGTTCCAGATTTTAGAAATAGTGTAATGATGTTTATGACACGAATAAAAAAATATTAATATTAAAAACATTAAAATACATGTTGAATGTGACTAAAAAATGCGTTATAATTCACGAACATATATTTTTCTTGCATTGAGCACATCCCCAGCAAAATGAAATGCATTGTATATTCATCCTGCCGTCAGGAATACGGTCTCACTTTATTCCAGAAAGCGAATGAATTTTTTATTTGCGAACGTTTCATCCTCCGACGTTCATGAACTTGACTGAAAATCCTAATTGAATTCAGTATTGAACTTCGGACCTGCCGGAAATAATACTCAATTACTGATCCTTGTCACCTGATATAAAAATTGGATCACGATGAAAAGGATTAAATACATTAGGGTATGAATCAATGCAAAAAAGGCATGACGTTGAATTTATCTTACCTTAAGAACATACAGTATCGGACTAAGGACAATTGCTAGATTACCCATTGAAACGAATATTGTTCAAATGTTTCAGAATTGTTCTTTAAATCAGCCTGAAGACACAGCACAGTAAATTTTTGCCTCATTTAAATAGTCCCAATACTCAAATTACATTACAATTGTACAATTATATTACGATGGAGAAATCAGAGCAATAACTCGAAATTGTAAAATATCACAGGTGAATCTTCTTTTTTGTCGGAGAAACTCAATAAAATAATCAATTCATTACAAATTTGAAGGTTAAATATCATCGTCACACGAATAAAAATTTCTTAGGAACGCTTTGCAACGAAATATGCAAGGTTTGCTTCAATAGGAATAAAATTATAAACCTAAGTTTTAGTCGAGCATTCTTCTATAAAATGTTAAGAAATCACCAAAATATGTTGTTTTTTATAATTATCCAATCGTTAGTCCTATGCTGATACGAAATTACAATTGAATCATTTACATGATTTCACTATCTCTATTTTCTCGCCCCCAATTATAAATTTCGAGATTTTCGTAAAATTTAAATTCCGAGATTTCCGTAAAATTTTAATTTCGTGCTCACGTCTTATATAGTCTTTCAGAGTTTCTTTCCGGCTTCTATTGTTATATGCCCTCCCCTTATGGAACTTTGCAGCGATTAAACGTAAATATTTGCGTCGCTTCAATGCCATCTGACAAATATGCTGACTGACTGCGCATGGGAATAAAGAGTTACTTGCTTTTTTGCGATGACGGCAGGGCCTGAAGCCTCAGAAAGTAATTATAAGGGGATGCAAATATACATTAACGAAAGTTTGAAATTCTATGCATCATTGATTTAGTTCGATAATACTCATTTCCTCGATGCTAGCCATTCAAATATAATATTAAAAAATTTGTAACGGCACTGAATAAGTTAGTATTGCATACAGAAAATTTCTAGATTTCGTGTTCCCTAATTTTCCCCGAACTGTGAAAATTAATCTCCTATGTTTGAAATATTTCAACAAATATTTCAACAGGTATAGTAAGCAAACAATAATCAATATCTATATTTTTTGTCTCATTACATCTTATAACAAAAATATTAAAATATTTATCTGAACTTCTCCGCTTTTCATTTAGTCAGCATCGTGACCAAATGGATTTTGAATCGACAAATTTAAACACATTTAACACATCAAGTTTGTGTATAATTGTACATGTTTTAATATGCAATTCACCTGAAGTATTTTGTCACGTATCTCATAAAGCAGTTTCCTAAGAAATTTAGAATTACACGACTTCACTAAATATTGTAGTGGGTACAGTGGCAGCGCACAGTGGCTCTGTGATCAGCATAATCACCAGTTACATTAAAACAATTTATTGCACGAAAATTCCATTAAAACTTGTCTATGTACAAGGAACGTATTATATGTTAACTTTCACGGACGGGCAACGATTGGTCGATAACGATAAACGGCAACGATTGATCCTTCACTTCCCTCGGATAGGTTCCCGAGAGGCGTGACGCTGCCTTCGATCAAGTCCACGTTCAAAACAACTATTTTCCTATTCACAAGCTCTAATCTCGATTAAAAAACGCTCTCTAAACATTGTTAGAATTCTACTCCTTATTAATAATAAATTCAGAACACATATATATTTAGTGGAATAATAATATTTGAACAATAAAATACAATTTAGGCCAGCACCTATACAATCTTCAGGACCTGTAATATACCCAAATAAAATACAATCATAAATTCAAATTTTATTCAAACATAATTTCTTCATATATTATGCAGTAATATTAATCACCTAGCCTCACAAAAGTCTACGGATAAACCGCGAAGTCAGCAAAGTTTGATACCAACTAGGCCATGTTCTGACTTGCCACGCAAAGCAACCTCGAGAATCGCAAAGTTATAAGACTGTGAATACTTCAATGGCAAAGTATACTGCCATGAAAATATCGTTTGGTTTTACAAAAAAGTACAGATTAAATTTATGTTTTACCATATAATGTTTTTGATCAAGAACGCGTCTGCAATAATTTCAACAAAATATTTGTTTGCAATAAATCTTCTGAAACATTATTGATGAACGCATGTCTGGCTATTGATCAGGTTCTGCACTGTTTTCAAGTGGCTTCCAAAGAATTATCAAATAAATTTCAAACGATATCCAACAAGTTTGGCGGCTCAACCTAATTTTGCTGAAGTTTCGAAGATTATGATTCTCATTCTTTGACCTGACGATCGACTTACTATCATTCTACTACCATGAACGACTAATATCATGCTTTGAAGCAACAAGAAGCTGCTTCAAACGTAAAGCAACCGCTGAAAAGTTGAACATATTTTTATCCAGTGAAACGAATTCTTGTTGTTCAAGTTTTACAGAATTGAGATAAAAATTCAAAGCTTATGATCCGCTCGAACAGAAGCTTTCAAATACGAACTTTTTCCCGAGACTTTCGTTTCTTATGAAAACAAACTTATTGTGAAGTGAAATTCTTCCAGATTTTTGGAGTCATTCTAAAGGGAATGGAAAATACATGACCGGCGTAAGATTCTTCGTGTGCTTCTGACAGCTTTACTGATACAGGAGAAAAATTCATAAGAAAAATAAAGGTCATCACTCTGATTTAACATTTTCTCCCATTTTCCTACTACGATGGTATAAAAACAATAGCCTTAATAAGAGGTATGGTCTAGAATATTCTAGAATACATTCGTTGCAATTGATAGATTTTTCTCGACTATATAAGCTTCAGTTTCATCCCTCGTAATATCATCTTTCAATCGACCTGCTTGTATTAAAAGCTCTAAGCTTGAGGGCTTGCCTAGAAACTCACTGTCAAGATTTCCAACATCGTAATAACTGTATTATCGTATTAGCGATGGAAAGCATACAAAATATTTTCGCTACCGTTGGCGGTAAAATTGCAGCAATGTTCCTATTATTTATTTGACATTTTCAAGCAAGTACAGTTAAACTTTGATACAGCAGCAGGGACCACAAAAATACGATCTACAGGTTCTTCTGATGAAAGTAGGTTCTTTTTAGCGCATTTTCTCATTTATGAAAAAAATGCACTATTTAGCTCGCCATATGTCCGTCCGTCCGTCTGTCCGTCTGTCCGTCTGTTTATCTGTCCGTCCGTGACTTCACGTTTTAGTCGACGAGAAAATGCGCTCTCTGTCACTCACTGCAGTGAGTACTGAGTTATATTTTTTTCATTGGACAACAAAAATATAACAGATTTTGTAATGGTTTCCGCAGCAAGGAAGTCTTATTATGAACTTTTTATACATATACATCGTATATCATTAGAGAGCGTTTATACCCACATATAATCCTTGGGTCATCTAAACATGACCGAGGAACATTCAGAAGTTCTATTGGTGCAATATCACATTAAGTTTAGTAATATCTTAAAATAAAGAGCACAATCAACAACTACCCTCCTATGAAACATGGAGCCATATTCACATAATAGGGAAATCAAATCCTCCAATATAATATTGAGAGGGCACACAGTGAATCTCATTAGCGGGAGTAATATAAATCAAACAACCAAGTAAATATTTAATATAATAAAAAAATTATATTTAGCAACGATAAAGCTTTAGCAAACACTGACATTGCTAGGAAAATTAACTCGTCATGCTCGATCCAATTATAGGATAAATAAGATGTTCATTTTGTTAGATGTTTTGTGGTAACAGTTCAACCAACTGCCTTAGCAATCACGCCCGTCGGAGGATGAAACACACAGAAACATTCGAGAAAAACACAGAACATTCAAGAAAAACATTTCTCGAAATTATTTTATTGTAATCATAATATAATCATTCATTTCTGCATTTTACCATTATTAATCTGTATTTAATATTTGTTCCAATTTTAACACGTTTTTCTTAGCTTAGCTTCGCGTTTGTTTGTTTGTTTGTTTATTTGTTTGTTTGTTTGTTTGTTTGTTGTTAACATTGGGAACGAAAATTAGCCCACTTCTGATTGTTCTAGAGATCTGAAATTCGGCATGCAGGCTATTTTACTCGCAATTTTTTCATTTTGTTTTCTTGAAATCATGCTGTTTGCGTGTCATGCTATTACTAAAACATTATTTGCTATTTTGGGTGTCATAAAATGAGCAATTTTTGCAATTTTAATTTTTTTTAGCAATAGCAGTAGGTGAACAAATAGATTTTCGATAGGAATGTGTTTGCGCGCAAATACATTTACGGACGACTTTGCTACTTGCTTGAACTTATCTAATTCTGAAATACATAACTGAGCGCTGCTCGGAATAGACAATGCTTGACATTTGACAATCCCTCATGGAATCATGATACCTGGAATCATAAAAACCGGATAAATGCTGATTGAAGGAAAAATGCCTTTTTTTTAATACATCTTGATCCTTGTAAGGAATTTAAATTGATAATTTTTATTAAATTTGATTTTTATAAATTAAAACGTAATTATTTCAATTAATTCTAACCAAACCTTGTTATGTGCTGCCTCGTGCTCACAGGCAATATCGGGTAATACTACAAGTATTGGTGTTGCACGCTCAAATAATGCCTTCAGAGATTCAGTGCCAGCTGTCAGTGCGCACAAAACTCACACGATTTCGATAATATTTAATTAATTCTGAATAATCTAGATAGATATCTTAACACCGTACGAGTAATTTTGAAAATAAGTAATTTTGTAGAGCATCTAATGAGAGTATTAAATTGTAAAAAATGTATGGCAGTCATAACTCATAATGAAACTGACGTCATCCCCTCTACTGCATGATGCTTGCAGGCAATTCTAAAAGGGGTGGAACTAATCTGATTTGAACGCAACGCATAATTAAAAGGATCAGAGTGCGAGAAGCTCTACTAATCAGAGGCAATTGACTTGCTTCGATCCTTGCAATTACGGAGCTATTATTAAGAGGAGTTCACACCTCGCAAAAATAGCCTAAGCTAAATAAGGAAATATTCACAAACAAATATCACTTTTTTTTATTTATTCAACTTTTCTGACATCAGTGAGTGCATGGTCCAGTTTTCCAAGTGGGCATTAATGCATCAACAAATTTGTGAGAGTTATAAATCAATCCCGGCATACAATGGTGACCGGCAAGAATTAGACTCCTAATATTCAGTTAGAAAGCAGAAGGGAGATTTATTCAGCACAAAACAACAAGATAATTTCTTCTTACCGTTCAAGGGTGCTGAAAAAAATTGTTTGAATTACGTACGATATGTACGGAGATTCACAATTCAAGATGGAATATGTTCAGAGACCATTGAAGGGCTTCATGAACTTAATTGTTAACCGAGCGTTGATTACTTTTCAGGTTCAATGCCGAATTGCTATTGTTTTATGTGTTTGCGGCTGCAAGGAGTTTTCATGGCTTTCAATTCCATTCAGGGAAACATTGTTATAATTTATCATGTTCTTTCAAAGGTGCTTAGCTTGTCTCGGTTCTGTTGCAATGCAAAATTTGCGTTTTTCTAACTAATGGTTGCCACTAAGTATTATCATTAATTGAAATTAATTTAAAGCTGTAGCTAACATTCACAATGTCCAATGTTGTTCATGAATTATATTTATGTAAAAATCACAGTCGCCCGCTGTTAAAATTGACTTTCGTCTTCATCTCTGACCCTTCTTCTCTTCTCGGTAAGCGATGCTGAGGGTTGCATCACTTTCTGCATCATTACACCCTTCAGTCCATGTCTCAGCCGAGGCTCCTTTGTTTTCAGTGCAATCTTAGCGCAACACAATTCTTAACTTCACCAATTTTCTCCCTTATCCTCCCATCTCCTTTTGAGGTTCATCGGCCTTGCCTTCTTAAAGCCTGAGATTATTTCTTAACAATGCAATGTCTCAGGTGGTCTTCGACGCACCTGTCATTAGTGCAATGACTTCACTTCCTTAGTGGTAACAGTTTACTGTGCTGTGTAATTCTCGTAGGTTGTTTATTAATTATAAAAGAGAAATCAGTTGAAGCTACCGTAACTTACTCAGTTGTTCAAGGTGATATTTTGATAAACTTGGAAGATTTCTTTAGAAATAATCTCTAAAAACGCTGCTCTCAGTCTTTAATAATATATTGGGATCTCTGCGTCCATGAAAGCCATAATTTTAAGCTGCCACCAGCACCGCTATGTTTATATCTCAATATCAAATAACGGGATATATCAATGATACCTTCATCAAAGCTATGTTTGAACCTCCATATCAACTAAAGGGATATTGATGACACTACCATTAGTGTCACTAGTGTACGTTAGGCATACAATTCTCTGTTTGCATATGATACAAAAGCTGCCACCGTTTATCCTCGTAATTTCAAACCAGTGCCTGATTGTTCACTCGAGCCTTTTTCTCCCTGTAACATTATGCTTACTCCTCCCTGTCTATACGTAAAATAATGTTATCTCTTCTTTGTCTAAACCTAAAATAAAGTTTTTACATTATTGTCTATGAGAAGGAGTTATTTGTTCTCCTTGTCAACAAGTAAGACAGTGCTTTCTCCTCCCTGTCTAGAGGTAAAACAATGTTTTTTCTTCCTTGTCTGTACGGAAAATACTATTCTACATCATTGTCTATGAGTAGGAATGATTTGTTCTCCTTGTCTATAAGTAAGACAATGCTTTCTCCTCCCTGTCTACAGGTGATGGGTCTGCGTTTCTGTAACGAAGCTTGCCTCTGCGCTGAGCAGCTCTGGCCTAAGGAAAGTGCTCCTAAAGTGGAGAAATTAATTTAAAGCTGTAGCTAACATTCACAATGTCCAATGTTGTCATGAATTATATTTTTGTGAAAATCACAGTCGCCCGCTGTTAAAATTGACTTTCGTCTTCATCATTAACCCTTCTTCTCTTCTCGGTAAGCGATGCTGAGAGTTGCATCACTTTCTGCATCATTACACCCTTCAGTCCATGCCTCAGCCGAGGCTCCTTTGTTTTCAGTGCAATCACAGCGCAACACAATTCTTAACTTCACCAATTTTCTCCCTTATCCTCCCATCTCCTTTAGAGGTTCATCGGCCTTGCCTTCTTAAAGCCTGAGATTATTTCTTAACAATGGAATGTCTCAGGTGGTCTTCGACGAACCTGTCATTAGTGTAGGGTTGACTTCACGACCTTGGTCGTAACAGTTTATTGTGCTCTGCATTCTCGTAGGTTGTTTTTAAATTATGTCAGAGAAATCAATTGGAGTTGCCGTAACTTACTCAGTTGATCAAGATGATATTTTAATAAGCTCGGGAGATTTCTTTAGAAATAATCTCTAAAATCAATAATTATCAGTCAATATTAATATTGGGATCTCTGCATCCCAATTCTCTCTTTGTTCACTCGAGCTTTATTTCTCCCCGTAACATTATGCTTTCTTCTCCTTGTCTAGACGTACAATAATATCTCTTCCTTGTCTAAACCTAAAATAAAGTTTTTACATTGTTGTCTATGAGTAGGAATGATTTGTTCTCCTTGTCTACAAGTAACACAAAGCTTTCTCCTCCCTGTCTACAGGTGATGGGTCTGCGCTTCTGTAACGAAGCTTGCCTCTGCGCTGAGCAGCTCTGGCCTAAGGAAAGTGCTCCTAAAGTGGCCCCGGACAAGCTCACTCCGCTTCAGGTAATTATTCATAAATGCTTCTGCTATCTCACTAAGCCCCGCTAAAAGGAATTCTCCCCAGCCTCCAAAAATCTTGCAATAGTTTCCACTTATTCCCCCAAAGTAAAAGAATGTGCCCCAAATTCTGGGGATGAAAGGAATTCCTGCCCTAATGGTGCGCCAGGACGTGACAACATCGCGATCTCCTGAGATTTTCGTCTGGCTTAGTTAGAGAGCATCTTTGTTGAATAAATGAGATTCAAAATTCTTAGTTATTACTCTTCTTCGTTTCTAAGCAAATCCAGTAAATTTATAAGTAAGCTTTTAACGTTTAAAGGTACTCTTGAATCAAAGAATACTATACAAAATATTTTTTACAAAGAATACTACTATGGAAAGATCGGGTTCCAAAGGCCGGATCCCTTGTGAATCAAGTCACGAAAAGTTCAAGAATCGGCAACAGGCCATGGGCCTATTTCTTCAACGCCGACACTTCTATTCTATTCTATTCTAATACATTCTTCGCAGTTTTATGAAGATTAGACTAATTTACATTGACATTAAATATTCGACAAAATTCAAACATTATTATTTTTACCACACGAATATTCGTTCAAATTTCCTTTGCTTTTATTACAGCTTTATGAAAATTTTCCACTGTTCCTGGTTTAAAAAATAAAGAGCAAACATCATGTCAGAAACATAATCGAAATAAACGGCTTTTTCATGCGTTATGCGAATACTTCCACATACATACATTCCAAATTTATTTTTACATAGAAACAAAAATTTCAAGTATTTTACGACACGGCGAAAAATTCCAACTATTATTTAAATAATCTATTCAGTTTTCGGAAACAACGGCATTAAGCTCACCGCATAGCTCGAACATAACTTTAAGAAGCCTTCTTCCTTGCTTTGTGCATTCCTTCACAAATGTTGTTCTCTTGAATCTCCCTTATTGAAACTATCGCACGTGACATCGCCATATGTTACAAAGCCTGTCTCCTGAATTGCTCCTTTCTCTGAAGAGACACCTTCGTTTTGGCTTATAAAATTGCAGCTGGATGTTTCAACTCAAGAATTTTTGTCCATGCAATATGAAAATCGCAAAACTTCTCGAAAATGTTTTTTTAACTCTTCCATAAGAAGTTTCATAGAAAAATATTTTGCGTGTGTAATACACAAGAGTGTTCAACTCAGTTTTCCGAATTAAATTTGTATTGCCTTTAGCGGGAATTTCATTCGCGCGCTGTCGCATTCGATGGATGTAAGCGCGCCCGTCCGTTGATGCGGATGTGTCAAGGGACAATTAATGTCCGCAAAAAATTGTAGCCGGCATGCAATTCAACCAAAATAAATTTGTATTTGTATTGTATTTTGTAAGTTCCAAAATAAATTTGTATGATTACTTTTAATCAATTTATCTTTCAAATTGCAGTATTATTTTTCACTCTCATTTTATTTCCGTTTTAATTTCTTCTTCTTTTCCTAATACTCGCTTTATTCCTTCCCTTTCAATCCTTCATACTTCTCTACTTTGTCTTCATACTTTGCTCAGAATTTCAGTTAATTAGCTCGGTAATCAAGTTATCATATTATTTATTCATACAACATTTTTACGGAACTCATAACGATTTCTTAATTTGACTCAGGATTAAAAGAATTAGGATCTACTTGAACACTAATCATTTCACAAATGACAAATGGAAACTTCATTAATTATATGTTCAGCAAAGAATGCTATGTCTTATTTATTAAAATCTAGTCCCAAGTTTCGTTCATATTTCTCGGTCTCAAGAATGCTTAGGAGTGATGAGATACCCCATTTTCATTATCGATTTACCTCAATTTACTCTTATGAAACATCAGATTAAAAAATGACCGAGGCCTGGCCTATTTAATTCAGTATTCCTCTGAACGAAGCATCAAGAGAACGCATGTACTACAAAAACTCAAATGAAATACCCACAAATTATTTTGTAAATCCACGGAAGCACGTCTAAAAATTTCGTTACTTTTTTTCTCGCCACGCTTCCAAAAGAAAATTAAATCTTCGCTCCCGACGGTCGAGGTATCATTTTCTTCCACGAATATTGTGAATGAAAAATTATAAATTTATTTACATGGTAATTTCTTCCACGAATATTGTGAATGAAACATTATAAATTTATTTACATGGTACCAATTATGAATGTGTGTTGGCGCCAGGACACGCTGGTGCGACGGCTGGGGGCGGGCGCCGTGCCCTTCTGCTTCTCGCTGAGCACTCACGCGCCGCCCTCCGTCACGCTGCTGCCCGCACGCAACTACAACGGCGCGCCCATCGGCACCACTTATGACCTCAGGATATTTGTGGGTACGTATTAGGAGCCTAAAAATATATGTCGCTTGGTATTAGCAGCCTTTCGGCGCGCCCATCGGCACCACTTATGACCTCAGGATATTTGTAGGTACGTATTAGGAGCCTTAGAATATATGTCGCTCGGTATTAGCAGCCTTGTAGGATGTTTTTTGGTGGTATTAGTAGCGGCAAAATAATTATCGGTGCGTATTAAGTGCCTCAGGATATTTGTCGGTACGTATTAGGAGCCTTAAAATATATGTCGCTTGGTATTAGGAGCCATATAGGATGTTGTTTGTTTGGTATTGGGAGCGGCAAGATAATAATCGGTGCGCATTAAGTGCCTCAGGTTATTTCTATTTGGGGCTTCAGGATATTGTCTGCTAGTATTAGAAGCATTGAAATATGTAGCTAATCTTCGCATACTAGAGTCAGGTAAATATTTCTCAGTGCGTATTAGTAGACTCAATATATAAGTCTGCCGTATTGGGAGCTGCAGTATATTTGTTAGTGCGTATTATTAGGTTAATCGTATTAATCTATCCATATTTTTAGCCTCATAGTATTGTTCAGTAGATTTTGAAAGCCTAAGAATATTTTTCTGAGCTCATCAGGAGACCAAAGTATTTTGTCGATGCATTGTGGTGACTTCAGAATATTTGCTAGAGGGCATTAATGTCCTTATTGATGTATATTAATTGCATCAAAATATTAAATCCTGGTTTTAATGGCGTCTTAATATCTCTTTGTTTCGTATTTATAGAGTAAGAACTTTTTGTGTAATTACTATTTAAGAGAATGATTTGGTCCGCCCACGCGGCCGCTGAAAATTTTTGAGTATTTAATCCCGATCTACAGACATAGGTCGATGCATATGATCTAGATTTCAAAACAATTAATCCAGAATATTTCGCGGTTCTTGAAGAATATTGCGGAACAATGTTTGGGTCGCAAATTTTCCTTCGTTTCCGGACATTATTTTGAGCTCATAACATCTATTTCGGAATATTCTAGATGCCTAACTAAGAGCGCCGGCATAGAAAAAAGCTCGCAATTCCCTTGATCCGCAATACACTGCAATTAAAAAGAGGACTTTTACCCTGTAAAATGTTCGTGTTTTAGAGTCGTATAAGAAGAATGTACTGGATTTCAATGAAAAAATATATATCAGAATCATTGCTAAGGCAACAATGGATATTGATAGCGTCCGTTTTTCTTGATTACTCGTGTGACACAAAATGCATTTTTACATAAGAGACACTCATATAGGCACTAATGCGATGTGACCGCGTCTAATGCTAATCAGCACTAATGAGATATTTTCTCCCCACAATGGTATTCAGGTTACCATGTTCTACCCTCATTACCATTAAGTTGACCGCATATCACCCCCACTAGCCTTAAAGTAACACCGTCTCACCCTTACCAGCTATAAGGTGATCGCGTCTGATCTCAGTTAGATTCTGTCCTGCGTTAATGTGCACTAAATGAAACGTTGCTTCTCCTCACAGTTTGTTTAACAGCTTCTTATATGCCGTACAACAGATATTATATAACTGTCCCTCACCCAAACCTCAGGAAGAAAATTCTCTCACAGTCACCCGTCCCATACATACCCCACTGTTGACAGTCTCACCCGTACACCCGTTCTTCACCCCACTTTAGTTAACCGATTCCAGCCCACGTGCCTGACACTACCTTCAACCCCATGTTACAGCATCTCCCCTTAACCCCGTGACTCCACCCCTGACTACACCCGTGACAACACCTGTGACACCACTCGTGAAACCACCCGTGACTACACCCGTAACACCACCCGTGACACCACAAGTGACACCACAAGTGACACCTCAAGTGACACCACCCGTGACACCACCCGTGACACCACCCGTGACACCACCCGTGACACCACCCGTGACACCACCCTCACCCCAGGCAACAGTGCCTCTTCTATCGAGCGTAAGTGACACCATCTCCGCGTAAGTCCTTTCATCGCCCCGTGACTCCCCCACCCGCATGTGACTTAATCTCCCCGTAACCCCGTGACCCGCAGGTGACAGGATCTTCCCATAACCCCGTGACCTTGTGAACCCGTGACCCGCAGGTGACAGGATCTCCTCATAACCCCGTGACCCCATGACCCCGTGATCCGCAGGTGACAGGATCTCCTCATAACCCCGTGATCCAGTGACCCCGTGACCCGCAGGTGACAGGATCTCTCCATAACCCCGTGACCCGCAGGTGAGAGCGTGGAGCAGCGGCCGCACAAGCGGTCGTCGGTGCGGATGGGTATGAAGCTGTACCAGGTGAGCGGGCCGGTGTCAGGACCGCTGCCCAGCGCGACGTCCAGCAAGCAGTTCCTGCTGACAGAGGGCCATGTCTCCGTAGAGGCGTCCCTGGACAAGCAGGTCTACGAGAGGGACGAAGAAATCCTCGTCAATATCAGCGTCACCAACAACTCCTCCAAAACTGTCAAGAAAATCAAGGTAAATGACTGATATTTACGTTATTTTAGCAAAATGTAACGAAAACTACATCAATATGAACCGTATATAAGGAAAGCAATTAATATGTTCTAATTATTGGAACTTCAATATCCTAATAGATATGTATGAGCATGTTATATACAACTAGCATTCAATGTTGAAAAAAGGCGAGAAATCACATAATAATATTTGAATCCATTCAATATTCTTTAATAGATTTATAGCGTTTTAACACTTATTTCTACCACAAAAATTCTCTACTTATTTTCTATCACTTCATGAAAATTTATTATAATTTTCATTTATCATTTAAATAATTTGATATTCTTACCCCAATTTTTTTCTCCGATGTTTCTGATTCATAATAATTTTCATTCGAGCTGATCATAAGATTCATTTTGCGTCACATACTATTAGAAGATACAACTTTTTACTTTTTACCAGGATAGCAATAAATTCAAATGAAATCCAGAGCCAAAAACACAATATGCATTCATACACATTTTTCAATATTATCACTGAAGCGCTTTTCTAATTTCGTGGCCACATCAGTAAAGTGAACGTTTGTGAGCGGTCCAAGAACATTATGCGTGTAATGGCCGTGCTCATGCTTGTCGCAAAGATCAGGAGGATCGGGAGGCTGTTAAGGTGGATTTATGCACAAAAAGGAGCTAAAGAACAGCTCATGAACAAACAACTTTACTTTCACCGACAGTAAAGCGTGTTTTTGGAGGAATCAATTTATTTTACATATACACTTATTAAACTATAATTATTGCGATGCACCGAAGAATATTCTTCACGTTAAACACAAATAATACATTATGTCTCGGCGGAGCCTAAAGAATTAAAATACGCTAATTAAGCGTTGAAGGGGAGAGCTTGTGAGAGACAAACTTTCCCTACGTTTCATTTAATCTCGTTCTCGATATTATATTGTAGCATCACTCTTTGCTTTCGAGCAATAATGCACAATACATAGAAATTCATCGCGATCGTATTTTACTTCAGTCGTAGATTGTAAGACATATTCCTGCGCGCAGATTTCCTTCAGTTAGCAAGTATTTACTCGGAAATCGCAGAAAATTTTGTCAAATCTCAGCAGATGTTGAACAAACGTTCATTTCATTTTACTGTTTAGCTAAAACTTTCAGAAATTTATACTTATAATGGCGACCAAGTTGAAGACGTACATTTTATATGTTTTAGGTTTTCATCGTCCAGTTCGTAGATGTAGCCATGTTCAGCAACGGGAAGTTCAAGAACATGGTGGCCAGCTTACACTCGACAGACGGCTGCCCTATCTCACCTGGTGGCTCGCTCTCCAGGACCTATTCTCTGTGTCCGCAGAAAGGAACCGTCAAGAACTGGATAGCCCTCGAAGAGTTCTACGAACAGGAGAGTTTTCTCGCCTCCACTGTTCAGAAGTTGGACAATGGAGAGAGAAATGTCTTTGCTATTTACGTCAGCTATTACGTTAAGGTAAGTTGCGCGTCATGCGTACTGTATAGTGGCTATTGGAAGACACAAGAAAGAGCCAGTTCCACTATCAACGACAGCTACTACTTCTAGGTAAGACCGTTCGTCACGTTCGATTGTTTGTGGAGGACACAAAAAAGAAGATCTTCACTATTCACGTTCACTACAACGACATAGTTAGTCATCTCATCTCACGCCATGTTTTTGAGAGGCACTTGATCGAGAGAGTTGTCTGCACTGTTTATGTCAGCCACTACGTCACGGTATAACAACTCGTCGTACGTCATGTTAGTTGATAACAAAAGAAAGAGGTAGCTTTGCTATTTAACGTCAGCTTCTACGTCAAGTTAAGATCACAGTGCAGTAATCCTGACTTCTGACATACGATAAAGTGAACAAATTTCCATCATTTAAATCACACTCGAGGTCAAGCACGCACGTCTTATTGTTGAAGGTAATGATCGAAAGAAAATCTCCGTTAATATTATTGTCATCCATCACATACATAAGAGCGTGGGCACCTGCTTCTAACATCGCAGTTTCTCTGATCCAACTGGAAGAGAAGCTAAAGTTTCTGTTGGAAGAAACATATTTTTCCTTAACTATTTCTTCTTTAAGCAGAAACGGTCCATTAGATTTGGTTGCAATTCCGTGAACTCACTTCTTGAGCTCACGTAAACAATTATGCACTGTTGAGATTTAGTCCAAACTTTTGGAAATCTATTTGAGTTATTTAACGGTCATAGATCTTACGGTCATGCACTAAGCAATTTTTATATGGATTTAGCATAGTCATTTTTCTCGTAGTGTAAGCCGTATTTTTTATTCTCTAGTTAAATTAGTTTGAGCTCAGCCAATTAGTCATTCCATAAATACGGATGACTGCGAAGACTTTAAAATTTGCACGACATTTTCGAACTTTTCACCCAATGTCACTTATTCCCTGTGAAGCGAAGTGATAATTTAGATTGCCCCAGATTTTAACTTTCATTCAAAATTTCGAATTTTTTAAAGACTTTTCAGGGAGCCCATACCGTTTTATTCTCACAGCCTCCTTCTCTCCTCCCGCAGGTAAAGGTTTTAACGAACTCCTTAAGTGCGCTGGGGGGCGAGGTGACCGTAAAGGTTCCTTTTAAACTCATGAGACGCACGGCGCCTCTTGACGACCTCTGCCTCAACAACCCTCCTGCCTCGGGAGGCGGTGAGACTGCGCGAGCACTCCAGGTGAATTATTATGATTTCCATAAACTATCGGGAAATTATTTCCGAAACTAATTCAGTAAGTTACTGAATGCGCATGAAAGTTTCTCCCGTGTAGAACAAAGAATAGTGCGATCTCTAAATATGATAACAATTATGCCTTGTGAAGAGGCGTTTCACTTTGTGAATGTTTTGCATGGAATAGAAGCATGTTTATTGTTAACCGTTATTCTAACCTTAATTGTTATTATGCCTATAAAGATTTTTCAGCTTAGATTAAGGCTTTTCACATTATTTTATTATTACATTATTAATGGAATCATGTTTCATTTTTCTTATAGCTGCTAACTACATTTTTGTCATCAGCTTTTTTTTAAATCAACAGGCGTCCTAATGTTGACAGTGACACTTTATACACATCAACCGGAACTTCAAAATACTAATGTTACTATTCAACAACAATCAACTGAAGTTATAATACTGACGTTAATACTCTATTAAAATCAAACGGAGATTCATTAAGACAACAATTGGTTTTTATTATGAATAATTATTATTAAATTGAAGTAGTTAATGACTAACTCGGCACCATCATTTGCTGAAAACTATTGAGCATGGATGCATGCATACTTCGTGAGTACGCATTCCTTTTCACGCGGAAGTACGCATCCCTCATCTCTCTTTAGTACGCATTCCTCGTCCCTCGTAAACACGCATTCCTCATCCCACGTAGGCACGCATTCCTCGCCCCCCGTGAGTACGCATTCCTCACAATACCTTGTGTCCCATCTGAGAGCATTATTATCTATTACACTCAAAAAATGAGAGTATAAGGATGACCCAGTCATGAGTGAGCCCAACGCTTCACAACAATTCAGGATTCTTAATGAGTAACTCTGCTGTCATGACTCACTTTTGTGTCATGGTTTTCTTCGCTATAACTTCGTATGAGTCACACTTAACTCATTCGATGATACGTTGTATTGCAATGTACAGTAAGTCATGTAAAGGAAATTGTTCTTTATCGGCTATGATTTGAGTCATCCTTACTCATTCATTATTATAACCGTAATTTCTGCTGGTAATATGCAAGCATTCATTCTTGGTTTCTGAACGTAATTTAGGCTGGTAATTCATCCCTGGCATTCATCCCTGGGTTCTTGCACAATATTTCTGAGAAAAACTTTCACAAAATTTCGAAGAGGCCGGGCATGAAATTTCCCGCGCGTGTTAGAAGTTGAGCGTGCAGAGTGCCTTCTACCTGCGCTCGATTATATCGGTGCCGCAAAGATTTATCAGTAAATACAAGCTGCTATTTCCGCACTTGCAATCACATAGCAATGTCGATCTTTGTCAATATATAATTATGTTTATATATATAATAAAATATATATATATAATTAAATGCTTCTTAGTGGCAGAGAAGATAGAAAAATAATAAATCGTTAATAAATGCCAGTTCTGCTAACTTTAACTCCGTTATCAATTATCATTTATACATTAGAAATTAGATTGCCTATGTTATAATATCCCACTAGTTATTCTGCTTTTAACGACCTACATAACTTTCATTTCTTAATTATGCCACTCCTCCATTCAGCACGTAATAATTAACTATACTAAATCTGTTAACACAGTCGTCATACAAAGACCTGTAAAAGAGCGTGGCTTGAAACAGCAAAAAATCAGTTACATATTTGCCATGAAGCGTCGGTTGCTATCCTGCTGCGCATTGTACTAGAAAGCAAGTGAATATACTTGCAATATTTTATAAATGGCTGCTCGCGTGCTCAAAGTTGCTTCGCATTGTAGCGGCTTTAATGTTTCGTCCTGCTGCAGAAACGTCGATAATAATAATCATGCTAATTGTAAATTGTGGTCCCAAAATAGACTATTAACTAAACAAAATATGTTGATCAAAAGTCAACAGAGGTCGAAATTAATTTCTTGATAGATGGGTAATAGATGGATAAGTTTATTTTAAAATAATTTAATAATATTGAATGTAAATAAGTCTCTAAACGTTTATGCATGGGTACATTTTGGCACTCTGCTACTAAGCCGAGTTTAATGAACGGCAAATATTATTGTTATTTGAATATGATACTGATAGTAATTAATCAAGAATTATGAAGCTTTCGTCGTTTAAGGTAAATCGTAATTGTTCGTAACTCGCTTACAGCATTTATTAAATATTTTTAAATAGCTGAGACAAGCAAAATTCCAATATTCCGAAATTGTTATGATACCATTGCACTTGTCGTAATTCGTTGCAGAAATGTTTATTCACTTGTAATATTGACAATTCTGCATTCATATAAAAACTACTAAAGGAATTTATATTTAAGCCATCTATTTAATTTCCTCAACAGGCCATCGGGCCAGCCATCAATGGACATTCATCGATGCCTCACTCCAAGTCACTGGGTGACCTGACGACCTCTTCCTTACCTCTTGATTCCCAAAAACATTCCCTTGCTGGTCCTAGTGCAACCTTGTCCCTCGGTAAAGACCAAATGACATCTCCCAGTGCCGCAACTTCATCAAGCAACACCAATGGTAGCAACACAGTAACCGCAATTGTTCAGTGTCATGTCCCCGCTGGTAGTCGACATCAAGGATCTTCCCAAGCCAGAGCCACCAGCGTAGACCTGCCTTACCACTGCTCCTCTTCCGACATGGGCCGCTTCAAAACAGGACTTAAGATATTTGCCGGCGGTATGTGTCGAGGCTTCTCTAATTCTTCCAAATCGGCACGCAACGACCACAAAAATGAGCACGGAGGCTCGAGCACATCGAGCTCTGACGACATACGACCTGCTGATGACAACGACAAGGAAGACAAAGCGCAGAAAGAACCTGCAATAATACGCAAAGACAGTGCCAACGAGTTCTTCTTGTCAACTACGCAACACGATTCAGATGACAAACGAGGTTTTAAAAGCTGCCATCGAACTTCGCAATGTTCCACAACTTCTCAGTGTTCTCATAACACTTCTCAAAGTACGATGGCAACCTCTCCTGCTGAGGAATTTTCTGACTGTCCAAAAGAAGCCGAAGATAGAAGCACCAAAGCTAAATCTCATAAGCCAACTAGTGTTCCATCTACTCCGATGCTGCGACCAGCGTCTGGAACTTATCAATCAGCAGCCAAACATTCTGCTTTAAAAGGACGAAGAAATAGCAATCCGGCAGCTGGATCTACTAAAGACAGCTGAATAGAAGAGCGACGAATAGAGGTCTCGCCAAAAACTATTTCGAAGTTACCTAATGATTTAAATTAACTTCGTACTCGTGTATTTCTTACGTTTAACTCCATTACAGTTTATTATTTTATCAATATTTAGTGCTCCGCTGATGCTCAGTAATTCATGTTTGTTATTCAAAAAAATTCCAAATTCAAGTTTGTTATTATTCAAGTATTCAAAATTCAGTTAGTTATTCATGTAACTTCAGTAATATACGTCAAAAAGATGCCTGGAGCTCTCAGACCCACGCAAACAAATATTGTGTTTGATTTTCTTTCGTCCAAATTAGCGCAGTAATGAAGTTTGCCGGTATTCAAATTTGCATGGGATTCTATTTATAGTCGATATGGATTCTTTCATCGTCAGTCCCGCATGCGTTATTACTATTGATATTTTTCGAGTCACTGCTTGATTTTACTTCCAGCGAACTGTTCTATATACCAGTATTCTAAATGCAGTGCAAATTGAACGTCTGTCATTACTTCGATTTCCCCTGAGTAATTTATCCATTAAAAACAATTGTCTTCAATTGCCTGAAGAAACTCCTTGATCTCAATTACTGGCTTACAAAAATTTAGAAATGAATTATTACGGGCTGTTTAGTGTTTACGTTGCTTCTCAACTTCAAATGGCAAGCAAATTGTTATTATTAAATGCTTAAATAAATGTTATTATTAAATGCTACACTGTAGAATTAAATGCTTTGTGTCTACAGTGTAGTTCCCGTTAAGAACCCTCTCAATTGTCGAAGGTGTTGATGTGATAGAAGATATTTCAGTTGAATGTGTAGGATCTAAATTATTAATGTTCATGGTTAGGGTTCGAAGCTTTAGGATATTAAAAGCAACATATCAAATGTTGAATGTTCGTGCTGCAAGATTCTTGGTTTTTTAACTATGATCCGTGATAGTTTACAACCGCAATTCAATAATGATAATCTTAATCTCGGAATAAAAATTTCATGTCCTTATGTAATCGGGTGAAAAAAATTCCGAGTTGTAGATTTATTCTGAATGAGAGCAATAATCTTAGGTCATTGTGCTCGTGAGATTGGCACTTATTCGAGTATTAATTCTTCTTAAACCGCCAACTACAAATCAAGAAAAATTTGCGAAGAAAAATAAAAACTTAGGGTTGATTTAGGCTACGCCTCACATTATGCTGTAGCGTGCTACAACCAGTAATCGGCTGCAAAAATTAAGGGTTAAAGTGATAACATAAAGGATGCTGAGATACTGCGTTCCGGAACTCGAAAATTAAAAAAAAATGTCAATCTTACTTTCATCTCTTTGATTTGAGATTAAGTTCTCAATAACAATTAATCAGCATTGAATTAATTTTGATGTTTATTCCATCACAACACAGGCTATCTTCGAAAATTATTTGAATAAAATACAATTATTACTTAAGTTTCATACACTATTCAATATCATCATAGTAGCTTATTTTGTTAACATTTTATAATCTCTCAACTTTCATTTTTTTTAAGTTTTCACTCGTATAATCTCTCTGTAATATAATAAGAAATGTTCTCGAACTCGACGTCTCCAGGGAAACCAATCCAGTCTGGCAATAATTACTCGGGATCTTGGCCGACAAACCAGGTTGTTTATTTGCCCTTTAGATTAAAGTTGTTGTTGCCTAAGCTTTTGATGATGAAGCCAAACAATTTCCACAAAACTATAAAACGAAAATAATTTTTCTATACCGCAGGGCTCCAAGACTGACAATTATTGTTTGCCTATTATTAATCTGTATTATACAGGCAGTTGTAGTCAAACCCGAAGTATTGTTGAATGGGCTGATATATACAATGTTGAAATAACTCGTAGCCTTTGTTAATAATTATATCTACCCTTTGTATTCTTTGTTTACATTGATGACAGTTCATTCTAGTCTTTGTTATTATTTATATCTATCCATTCTAGTCTTTCTTAATATTTGTTATCTGTCCATTCTATAGTCATTCTTAATATTGATATCTGTCCATTCTGTCTTTGTTTACTTTTTCGTCTGTCCTCTTCTGAGGTTGATTATAAATCAGAAATTCTATGAAGAGGAAACTGCTCGAAAAATATTTGAGATCCCACAGGTAAATAGTTCTCATTTTTCACGTCGAATATATTGCTTTGTATTTCATTTCCACACCGTGTAGCAGGTTTGTATCATCTTGGACCCTCTGCCGCTCCCAGGAAATTATTTATTTCAGATAATTAACAAATAATAATTCATTATGGAACATCACACACATCAAACATATATTATAATATATAGGGAATATCGATTTTTAGTCACATGCACGCTTTAAATGTAAATTGTACCTGAAAATCCAGTGACTGGCAATTCCATAGCTCTTTTCTTAGCGAGCGATAAATCTCTACAAAATCAGCAGCCTCTGACGAGCGAGAATGAGTCCAGGCCGCGCAGGGAAAACTGAAGACTCCATTGATTTTCTGTAGCCCGAAAGCCACCAATACGAAACCTGACGATTTTTTCTCGTCATTTAGAAGCTGAACATCCAGTCAGCAGACGCTTTTTGCCACAAGATTTACTAGGCGGCTGTCACGGAGATTTACCTCTGCAGAGGTCGACAATTTTTTCCTCGCTGTAATTCCATGTCCTACTACATTAATTTTCCTATTTTTGATTCCGGTTTCTATAAGACCCACTAAATAAAATTTTTATTAAATATCCACTGCATACGACACAAATTGAACACAGGATATTTCATGAATTCCTCCCTCAATTTCAAATAATTTACCGCATTGAATAGAAACTATATAACACTAAAGCGGAATTGGTTTGGTTATTTATAAAGCTATTTAACCACGCTGCTCTCCAGTAAGTCTAGGCAGCGCTATCCTCGTATTCAAGTTTACACTTCACCCGACATAAATAACACCTACGGTCAATATGAGACGATTCGCTTATTTTGATTCTCAATGCCTACCGCTCACAGGCATCCTCTCATGCGGAATAATGTCCTGAAATGTTTGCAATCTCCTCCGTATTCAACGACATTTATGAAAGGCACGGCGAGCCAAAAAACTCTCCGGCTATTGCATTTCTGATAAAAGTTCAGAAGCAGCGCGTATGCCGACCAACTTTGTATCGTCGCTGCTCTGCTTGCGCATCGTTTGTAGTCGAGTTCGTTTTTTCGATTCCTCAGAGCTCTGCCATTTTTTGCTCGCATTCTTTTCACTGTGAATTCTCTCAGCCTTTAGACTACCCTTTGATGTCGTCACTTAAAGACTATTCTAACGGAACACTTTATTTCCACCAGACGGCATATGTATGAAATATTTATTGTAAATAAACTTCATTTGTTCTATTTAATTTCGACCTTTAACAATCGTTATTACATTATCCTCTATCACTCAACCGTTCTTATCACATATTAAACATTGATAGCGATCATGATTGATCCTATCATCTCTAGGCATTATAAATTTGAATTACATCCAAAGGCGATCCCGAACGGGTCTAGCGAAACATCATAAATCACGTGAGTTTAGCAGCGGCCATATTTTAGACATCGATGGCTCATAGTCGCTGCCATCTATTATCAGTAATAACTCCCTGCACGACATCTTCCCTTGACCAGTACAGGGGCGCCCACGCCAGCATCCTTCGTCACGAAAATGCTGTTGATTTGTGGAAACAGTGTTTACAAATTTTTAGACTCCTCTCATAAATGATAATAATTTCAATAGAAAATTGAAACCGCTCAGCTATCAACATATGTTATTAGGTTTAGCTAACTTATAGTAATTAAAACTTTTGAATTTCATTGGCTGATGTAAATTAGACAGTGAAATGTAATGGAAATACTAAAGTTGAAAGAAAGTAAAAAATAAAAAATAAAGTAAATTCTAAAATTTTCCATGTTCTCGGTGTGTTATTTCTACGAATTAGATATTTTAATTATACAAAATTAATCACCCTGAATATACTTTAAAATAGATAAATGTTTTAGGCTTCCAACGCTTGATAAATCGCCATTACGATGCGGGATCGCTTCTAGAAGCCCAGCGGCCAGCAAGCCAATTTTCCCAGCGCTTGAACGTAAACAAATAGCGGGATACGAGTGGCAACATCAAATTAACACTACAAAGCTGCTCGCAAAAAATATAAATTGTGTCTGGCTCAATTTATTCTGTTAAAATAGGCCTGTCGCCCGCGTATCCTACGACTTTGTTAATAAACAAACAAAACTTGGTCCGGCTAACGCCAATCGCACAACGCGCGTGCGTTCGGCTGACTGAAAAAAAAACACATGACACAGTATTTATGATGCGAACAAACACATCCATCCAACTGCGCTTTAAAATGTAGCAGTGGTTATAAATATTCCGATGTTTGTTTGCCTGTGTTGATAAATGAATAAAATTTTAGTCTCTCAAGTGCAGTTAGAATTCATATAACTGCAAACAGGAAAATCTTTATTGCAGAGATTTTATTACTGCGGTGAGCGCAAATATAAGCAGTGGGTGCGTTCATCTGATCCCTGTCAGCTGGACTGATCATCTAATATTTCTCCAATTGAGTTTTTATCTTCACAAATATTATTGCGATGATGGTCTCATTTTAAGTAGCAATCCATCTTGAGTTATCAACTCCCGTCAATCGAGCACTCATTTTTAGCTATAGCATATGCGTTAACCATCACACATCGAAAATATTCCTCGTCAATTATTTCAATTGCGCCACAGAATGGAATGTATTCCTGCTATTCACATTCTATTCATTTTGCGCAATATATCTCGCTGCGAAAGACGCGTCCACACAATACGCATTTGCTCAAGACGTAAATGATTTGTATTCACAGGAGACTGAAGCATTGTAGTGCGCCGTGCTATGCATTTGCTTGCTCGGCCTCTCTGAAATTCTGCAGGATATAAGCTTGAAGGTTGCGTAGGAGGCTGTAATATTTGCCTTGAGTGCTTCATTTACCAAGAGGACAATGTTTAGACTAAAATAACAGATGTCTTACCTAGAGGATTGATTTCTTATCACAGATATCTTAAATAACAGATATCTTATCCTGGATAGGGGGGATTTGAAAAATTATGACTAGAACGCTTCCTTTGTATACTATAAGGATGATATAACATTTTATCCAACAACCAATGACACTAAACAAATTTTTAGGCTGTCAGAGGATGTAACGTACGACCCCTAAAATTCAATAGGAAAAGTTGTAACAAATATTATTGATGACAGATAATATGAAATTCAAGCTTGATAACTGGACTCTAAATTTAATTTCTTTAATAAAATTTATGAAATAAATGAAATTATTTAATTCACATTGAGTTTTCATCTGCTCGCTATATGATGACCATAATTTTGTACCATTTGTTTATGGTAGGAGCCTAACTTCTTCTACCCATGTGGTTAGATTAAATTAAATGTTAACGTGGCCGTCTCGTGATTTTTCATTTGCTTTCATGAGTAAATGACAATAGGTAATTTTAATACGGTTAAATTGTTACAAAACTTCTTTACAAGCGAAGAACTATATAAGTTATCCTATAATATATGTTATCTGAATGTTTTAAACCAATTTCTTACATAATGTTTTTTTCACCGTAAAGGTCAACCGCAGAGTAAACGTTATGAAAATAGTAAAGAAAAAGTCTCGACATGTTGTAGAATTTACACAAGTTTACGAATCGCATTGGGAAGATCATCGTCGAATTGTAGCAAGACGTAAAGATTATTCTTTTTGAATCGTTTGTTTGGCATATTTTGGCAATTTCTTATATATATGGAATGAGAACTTTTTGAAATATTTTTAATTTGGGTTTTTTCAACAAGATATGCGATTCGATTTTCATTCGAGATTTTCTCAATAAACTTTTCGAATACAGTTTGTTACAAGATAGTCAGACATTTCATAGTTCGCCAGGACTTCAAGAATATAACATGAATACGATAGCGAGAAAAAAGCCCAAGAGGGTCCAATCTAAAAGATCTGTGCGTCGAGTATATCGCGTATCGATTGCTACGTGGCAATTCCACTTGATACTGAAATATTTTACTAATTATATTTCCCGGCGGTAATTAAAGCTGTTCACTGTTGTTATCAGAGAAATTTACAGTTAAGACTGGTTACTGAACAGTGCTTATACTTGTAATAAATTAGGCAAATAAAAGGCTATTTTAGTGAAAACAAGAGCAAGGAACATATTTGTTTAATATAATTTACATGGCACACTGAACTTTTTAGCAAATGATCGCTAACATCAAAATTGTACGAAAATGTATTTTGTGGGCTTTGATTAATCTTTCGTAGGTGAAGATTGATCGACTTAAGGCAGGTATTTTTCATTTGTGTTTATTAATACAGTTGGTTTTTATTATTAATGTTGGTCAGGCTTGGTAAAATTTATTGCTTTTCATTCAATGATCATATTATTGTTTTCCATAAGTTCGAAGCCAAAATTTCCATGATTTAGAATTTACGTGCAGCCTTATCGTCATTTCCAAG